GGGCCTGAAACCGCGACTTTTCCGGTCGAACAGTGACCTTCCCAGCGAGGCGAGCACCACCAGCTTGAAGAGGGGGTGTCGGTGAATCATTCCATGGTCTCCGTTCGTCTCGAAATTTCCGTTTTAGCCTCTGTTGACGAAGGTAAAAATGCTTCGTAGTCACACAAATTGGTTTGATAAATTGTGTGACTACAAAGCATTTTTACCTTCGTCAACGGAGGCTAAAACGGAAATTTCGAGACGAATGGAGGCCATTGTGTGACTACGAAGCATTTTTACCTTCGTCAACGGAGGCTAAAACGGAAATTTCGAGACGAACGGAGGCCGTGGAATGATTCACCGACACCCCCTCTTCAAGCTGGTGGTGCTCGCCTCGCAGGGAAGGTCACCGTTCGACCGAAAAAGCCGCGGTTTCAGGCCCTCACGACTAGCTTGTCAGAGGGGTTGGTCGTGAGGGCTTGAAACCGCGGCTTTTTCAGCCAAACGGTGACCTTCCCGGTGAGGCGAGCACCACTAGCTTGAAGAGGGGGTGTCGGTGAATCATTCCATGGCCTCCGTTCATCTCAAAATTTCCGTTTTAGCCTCCGTTGATGAAGGTAAAAATGCTTCGTAGTCACACAAATCGGCTCGATAAATGTGTGACTACGAAGCATTTTTACCTTCGTCAACGGAGGTTAAAACGGAAATTTCGAGACGAACGGAGGCCATGGAATGATTCACCGACACCCTTTCTTCAAGCTGGTGGTGCTCGCCTCACCTAGAAGGTCATTGTTCGGTCGGAAAAGCCGCGGTTTCAGGCCCTCATGACCAGCTTGTAAGTGACACTTAAGTGATCTTTTTTTTGAAAGTTATGGCACTCAAGTGAGCCAAAAAAAAGTTATGGTACTTAAGTGTTCTCCGTATAAAAGTTATGGCATTTGCGCTGTACTTACCCGCATAACTAACCTTTCCAACCTTTCTAATATTCACTTATGTTCTGATCGCCCTAGCCGTTTTCTATCGGTCAAATCGCTAACAAAACATCAAGCAAAGATCAAGGAAGACTAACTTGAATGGCCTAAGGCCACGGTGACACTTCGACGAGGGTTCCCGAGCTCCGGCGAGACGGTTCAATGGACGACCGAGATGATTCATGCATATTTTCCAATCAAAATGAGATAAAATGACTGTTTCGTTCGATGATCAGGAGTAATTGCCGAACTGATCTGCACCCCAAGAGTTGTTCCTTGACACTTGATCTTCACCCTGGTGGTCTTGGTCTGGCCGAAAGAGCTCGAAATTGACCGGAAAAGGCTCGGTTTCAGGCCTTCGGGACCAGCTGATTCAACTGAAACAGTAAAGGGGAGGTTTCGGCCAAACTCCGATTCGCCGATGCTCCACCGTCCACAAATACTCCTATCTAGAAGTACTGGAGACTCATCAAATGTAACTTTTCTGTTGACAACGGTTGAATTTAATTCCGGGCACCACAATCGATAACCTCGCTCACCTTGTGCATAACATAGGAACATGCACTTTCTTACCTTTTCATCGAGCTTACCATCACTTACTCGAATATAACACGGGGCAACCAAATATTCTAATAATAGAATAATCAGCAACGTTACCTGACGACACTTCTTCGGGAGTCCGACATCCTATCGCGGTCGATGGGGAATTATTCATCAGGTAGCCTGTCGTACTAAGCACATCCGCCGGGAATTTTTTAGCCATACTAGCACTAGAGAGCATTTTAGGGGCCATCTGTAGTAATGTTCTGCTCATCAATTTTGCAACATGTTGTGGTTCATTGGCACTAGTGCCATGTTTCGCTATACTTTCCTTCATACAGAATTCGTTTAACAGTTTCGAGCAAAACTCCATACTATTGTCAGTTTGCACCTGTTTGATCATCTTACCGGTTTCCTTTTCGATCAAAGCTCTCAATTGCCTGATCCTGACAATAGCATCAAACTTGGGTCTAAGCACAAACACCCAAGTCATTGTCGAGTAGTCATCAACAACTGTTTGCATAAATCTAGCACTCTTCCTCGAAGGAAACCATGACAACTTATGAACATCCAAATGAATTAATTCTGCACTATTCATGGTTTCTTTGACAATGTCACTGAACTGCACTTTCTGCTGTTGATCTAAATCACAGCATCTGCATACATTCAGTTCGTTAGCATTATAACCACATCGCAAATTCCTTTCACTTGGAACCTTTAGGCTTTTCTCGTTAATGTGTCCCAAACGCATATGCTGCAATTCAGACTCTTGAACCGGTGCATTCGACGTCTCTGCGGCGAATTCCATCACTGTCTCACCTTGAAGTTCATATAGTGCTTGATTCCTTTCATTATTATCAAGGCACCTCGAACAATTTTTAGAACTCTATATTCTGAAGAATACCGACACTCAGCTGAATCCACAGCATTCAAGGAAATTAATTTTTTCTTTAACTTTGGAATATACCTCACTCCAGTCAATGTCCACACAATACCATAATGCATATTGACTCTAACATCACCAACACTTATAACATCGCATTCAGAATTGTTTCCCAACATCACTTTATTACTATCCGTGCAATGATAAATAGTAAACCAGTTGCTGTTTGGTGTAGCATGAAAAGAACAACCAGAATCCATAATCCATTCGCCAAACGACGAATCATCAGTGACAGACAAGACATAATCAATAATATTTGAATTACCATCAGCTGTAGCTGCAACATCATCCGTAGACTCAATTCTAATTCCCTTACTCTTGTAAGATGCCCCCTCTTGCCACAACTGCAACAGACAGCACCATCAGTCCTAGACTGATTTCGTTTATTCGTGTTTATACTACTTCCGCTAATGCGAGCATTAGTTCTTCCTCTATTTTCACCTACTAAAGCAGCAGATACATGTTCACCAGATTCTCTATGTCCTCACTTAGAAGTAAATCTCGAACATCATCAAATGTCAAGCTTGTTAGCCCAGAGGAATTACTAACAATAGTAATAGTAGTATTCCAACTATCAGGCAATGGGGATAATAGAATCAAAGCATGTACCTTATCTTAAAAGTCAATATCAACTGAACTCAATTGACTAACGATCACATTAAATTCATTAATATGATAAGCAACTGATGCACCTTCGCTCATCTTTAAGTTAGAGAGACGTCGCATCAAGTAGACTTTATTGATCGCAGAGGGCTTCTCGTACATGTCCGACGGGACTTCCATTAAAACCGTAGTGGTTGTCTCTTTCACGATATTAAACGCAACTTTACAAGCCAATGTCTACCGAATAACACCCAAAGCTCATTCGTAGTTAGCTTGCTTCGTCGTCTCTGGTTTCTCCCCAGATAGGGACAAGTACAGTTTCATATGATATAGACGATCCTCAATCTGTATCTTCCAAAAACCAAAATCTTTCCCATCAAATCTATCGATTATCATTTTTCCTTCTTCTGTCACCATCAATTCGCTTCAACTCAGGCAAGCCTTGCTCTAATACCATTTGTTAGGAGTGTGCAGTAGAAGCCCGATACCTTCACCTAGGGAGATCGCCAAAACGGAGCTTAAGTCTGAGTCAGTCAATATATCAAGTTAGACCCATATTCACTCAAAAGTTTAAGCTAATGAGTTATGGGCTAACTATCATATATTAACTGTTCAACGCTACACCAATACTCCTATGTGGGACTTTTCTAACACAACTTACAAGTGCATTTTATGTTAGGTATGCTCCCTCTTAATTTAGGTATTCTTTTGCATCCATCTCAACTTGAATCTCCAAGTGATTACAATGCACCCGCAACTATGCACAGCAACCATCATCAGACCAACAATGACAACAATTTTCACCCGAAACAAGCGTCAATTATGAGATTTCTTTTTTGAGATATTTCACCAAACACCGGAACAGATTGGAGGCCCACCAATCGACCATCGACTCTGATAAGGAAGCAATCGAATAGCAAAATTGACAGAATAAAAAAATAAATCGGACACAAGATTTACGTGGTTCGGTCGTAGTGACTTATGTCCACGGGGAGAGCAGCAATGAATTCCACTATAGATCAAGTGATACAACGGAGATTACAACCATACTCGAGTTACTCAAACCCTCTCGGTATTTCTCAAGTCCCCAATTACACCCAATAATGCATATAGTGTTTTGCCCATAATTCCTCACGAAATAATTTCTCAATCTCACGAAGAAATTGTACATAAATCTTACCACAAGATTTACTCAACTTGAATACTAAATTATTAATGTAATTGCATGAACGATATTAATACCAAGCGCTCGCGGGAAAAACGGCGCTTTAATACCCATGCTACTCTTTTGACATTAGCCCACCTCAATGCTCCCACAAGCTGAATATTTATGCATAAAGTCATGTGACCGAATTGCAGAAGGAAACCAAGTCTACTTTCCCATTTTGTTGTTTCGTTGACCAACCTTTATACGGAAATTGATTTCTGTAATCTACAGATCTGGAACTTCTCTTTGGGCGATTGTTGACCGAGTCAATGTCCAACTCTTCAATGCACTCAGCCGGGAAATTGACTCACGTAATTTCCTTTTTCTGTTTTGCTTTACGGGCACTACAGGAAATCCTTCACTTGGACTATACCGAACAAGAAATATAATTTCCATAGCATGCCACCGCGAACATCGGTTTTGTTCACGAGCTTAAATTCGAGACATATATATTTTTTTGATCGAAAAAGTCGCTAACATTGATAGTCAAGAGTTTTTAGACAAGAAGCCCAAAGCAGGGGCATCAAAGCACAATAAATCCCAAGATAGAGATAAAGAATTTAAACGATGGGACTTAACTACTCAATTCGCAACTCTGTTTGCAGCCCTTCCACAGTGGGCCAAGGAAATCTTGTCAAAATGGGCCATTCGGGTTCGAGCGTCTGCAATCAGAACACTTACTTCCCACGACACATGAGAATCACTTAACATAGCTTAAGTTAGAACTGAGCAATCTGTCTCTAAGCCCTAAAGTACGACAATGCCTCCAATAGAGCCATCATCTTCGTTTGAATCGCCGAGGAAGTAGCGATTTTTTTGACGAATCCATCCAGCAAAGCTCCAGATTCATCATGGAGGACACTGGCGATTACTCCCTCCGTGCTGCCGTCGACGAAAGTTCCATCGAAATTGATCTTGAAGGACTGGCTGTTCGGTGGATGCCAATTCGGAGGTAAAGTTGCCTTATCAGTGTCAAGTTTCAAACTTTTAGGGTTCCATTTGCTGTAATTTCTGACCATAGCTTGCGTTAAAGCAATTAGCGATTGTGGGTCTGGGGATTTACGCCGAAACACTAAATCGTTCCTTGCTTTCCATATAAACTAGAGAAGAACTGCGATTCTTTCAAAGGTAAGTGGGTTGCCTGACTGCGTGAGAAAATTTTGTAGCCACTCTTCCATTTGGGTGATGTTTTGACCCGAGACTTGTACATTTACTTCAGGGTTTTTCCAAATCTCGTACGTCCAAGGGCACAACAAGAGGAGGTGTTCCACAGTTTCTGCTTCTCGATTGCAAAAGGGGCAAGCTGGCTGAGGTAAAATCTTTCGCTTATAGAGGTTTTCTTTGGTAGGAAGTCCATTTTGGCACACATTCCAGAGAAAGATTCTGACTTTGGGGGGGATGGGTGTGTAGGTGCCAAATATGGTACCATAACTTACGGGGTGGCTAATAAGAAGATGAGACTTGGGATGTGTTCTGTTTGTTTCCTCTTCACGGAGCAAATTGTATGCACTTTTGATTGAATACTCTCCTGACTTGGAACCCGTCCACACCAATTTATCTTGTGTAAGATGAGTCCTCAAAGGCACAACCAGAATCTCACTCACTATTTGTTCGTCAAAAAGACTTATGATCAATTGTTCATCCCACTTGTCCTCCTCATGTGAAATCATGTCAGCTACTTTAGTTGGATCGCTTAAGTTAGCTGGCCTGGCCCTCTAATAGTTCCTCTTTCGAGCCATCTATCTTCACGAATTCTGATGTTCTCTCCTGTTCCAACTGACCACATAACAAACTTCGATATCGATTCTCTGCCCATCAAGATACTTTGCCAACCTCAGGAGGGGCGAGACCCCTTTTCAGCTTGCCAAAAGGATCTATTAGGAAAGTAAATTCCTTTTAAAACCTGGCTCCATAAAGATTCTTGGTTCTGTGCTAATCTCCATGCTTGGTTGCCAAGCATGGCTCTATTAAAGGATATCAAGTCCTTGAAGCCCATTCCCCCTTTATCTTTCCTGGTTTTAAGCACCTCCCATCTTTTCCAATGAAGACCTGACCTCGATTCGCTGTTTTTCCACCAGAAATTAGCAACCTTCTTTTCTATCGACTGACATATTGAGATTGGAATTTTAAAGATAGACATAGCATATTGTGGGAGAGCTTGTACCACATTTTTTATCAGAACTTCCTTACCCGCCTTCGATATTAAATTTTCCTTCCTCCCTCTAGTTTTGTATTTACTCTTGGCAATATCCATGCAAACATTTGTTTCTTGGAAGCACCCCGGTTAGAAGGAATCCCTAAGTATTTCCCAGTCTTCTTAATGACAGGCACACGCAGCTCATTTGCCATATTCCTCTGTAAGTTCTGAGGGTAGCTTGAGCTAAAGAAAATGCCAGACTTGTTCAAGTTTATCGCTTGCCCAGATGCATAGCAGTATTAATGTAGTATCAATGCAAGATTCTGACATTCTATCACTTTTCCATCTAAGAAAAATATTGAAGCATCAACAAAGAGTAGATGAGAAAGGACTAGACAGTACCTGTTTAGCTTTATTCCAATAATAGTTTCGTCATTCACTGATTTTCTCGTGAGGGCCGAAAGGGTATTGGCCACCAAGATAAACACGTAAGGAGAGATGGGGTCCCCTTGTCAAAGATCTCTTGAAGGATGAACGAACGGTAGTGGCTCACCATTCAACTTTACACTCAATGAGGCTGAATTCACGCATTTCATAACCCTATCCACCCACCATTTACATAATCCCATTGTTAGCATGCAAGCTTCCAAGAAATCCCACTCCACTCTATCATAAGCTTTTTTCATGTCTAGTTTCAACACCGCCTGGAACTTTTCCTTTCTTTTCATAACTCTCAATTAATGAAGCACCTTCTGCACTACAATAATATTATCTTGTAGTTGTCTGCCGCCCACAAACGCACTTTGCTCTCCTGCTATTAGGTTTGGGAGCCAAGGTCATAATCTATTAGCCAAGACCTTCGAAATAATCTTGTAGGAGAAGTTGCAAAAGCTGATTGGTCTGAATTGATCAAGGCTTTCCGGGTTTTTAACTATTGGTATCAATACAATGTGAGTCCTATTTAATTCTGGATTGAGATACCCAGAATTTAAAAAATTCCTTACTTCCTCAAAATCCCCCATTTTAATCTCCTCCCAATGTTGTTGGTAAAACTGGCCATTTAACCCATCCGGTCCGAGAGCCTTCATTGAGCCTAGCTGGAAAGCTGCAAGTTTAACTTCTTCCATTGTAAGTTTAGTTGTTAAATGTTGATTCATCTCATTGGTAACTAGAGCTGGAATTTGTTGCAAAATTGGATTAAAATCTTGGTTTCCCACTGAATTATAAAACTCCTTGAAAAACTCCACTTTCATCTCTTTCAGTCTCCTGGGGTCATGGGTTCAAACATCTTCTACATTCTTTAGCATAGAGATTCTATTTCTTTGTCTTCTTTGAATTGTTGTAGCATGGAAATATTTTGTGTTTTTGTCTCCCCATTTTAGCTAGCACAATCTCGACCTTAAGCTCCAGTACATTTTCTCTCTTCTCCACAAGTTCTCTGTCTGTTCAGTGAGTTCCTGCTGTCTTCCTCTGTTTGCATTTAATGCTTGGTTGCTAATAATGCCTTGCAGCTCATCTTTCAGCATTTTTATCTACTTGTGGCTATTGGGGAAGGTTTTCTTGCTCCAAATAGCTAATTCAATGGACACTGCTCTTATTTTCTTCACTAAATTGGCACTAGCCATGCTAGATGAGTTTCAGATGTCCTTAATAATCTTGCTACACTCCTCATTTTCCAGCCATAAAGCCTCGAACTTGAAATACTTCTTCCTCTTCACTGGTTCAGCTTGTAGAGACAGTAAAATAGGGCTGTGGTCCGAGCCTATAGCGGGAAGTTCGAAGGTTTCTGCTTCAGGGAACAATAGCCTTCATTCTATAGTACACACCGCCCTATCTAATCTCTTTTTAACGAATTGCTCCTCTTCTCAATTATTTGCCTAGGTAAACGCACAACCCTTGCTTTCCATATCCATTAACCCACACGCATTAAGAAAGTCTCTAAAGGCGTTTAATCTGTATAGCTCATAATCTCTTTTACCGACCTTTTCCCAATCATATAAAGTTTCATTAAAATCCCCTAAACACACCTAAGGTTGGGTATTCAGGGCAAGTATCTGCTGAAGTTGCTCCCAAGTACGTAATCTCTCTTGAAAATTTGTAGGTGCATGGACAAATGTTGCTCTGAAAATTCTTCTCAGCTGAATGTCCTCAAGAGAAACATCAAGGAACACATTTGTGGCTGAATACACATTAACAGTAATGCCGTCATTCCATAATAGAGCCAATCCCCCACCAATCCCTACTGGGTTCACCACATAGTAGTGCTGGAAGTTTAATTTTCTTCTTACTCGTCGAACTACTGATTCTTGATTTTTCATCTCCATCAAGAATACCAAACTTGGCTTTTCTTGAGCCACGATGGCTCGTAGGGCTCGAATTGTCAAGGGTGTGCCCAACCCTTGACAGTTCCAACATAGTAGCTTCATTTGTAACCCGGTGGCTTATTAGGGTTAGCCACCTAAGCCCGTCCCTATGATCCACCTTCGATCAAATCTTTCAATTTTTGTTAAGGAATTTCCTCAACCACCTTGGCTACGACATCCTCTGACCACATTTTACCAAGTCATCTACACATAGTGGCAAACCTTTGTTCCTTATCTAACTCACCCTCTATGTTGCTACTGATCTTTTGTCACAGGAACATACCTCGAAGAACTCCAATCACCTCAGACCACTACAGGGCATAACCGAGAAGAAGGAAGCCTGGGAGCATGTATCTTGCTTGCTGACTTTCACCCATTTCCTTTTCTGTATAGGCTGAAGCTTTGGAGAGGCAAAGGCGAGAATAGATGGTAAGAGAAGTATCAATGAGGGGGAGATGCTTCGTTGGGGTACCGTATGGTGAGATGATGTGGGTAAGGGTGTATGGTGAGATGATGTGGGTATGGGTGAATCGTAAAAAGTAGTGATGGAAGACATGGATTTAGGGTTTTTTAGGGTAAGCTCTCACCATGGATAGGGCAAGCTCTTACTAGAAGAGAGAGAAAGCTCTTACAAGAAGAGAGAAAGCTCCTACAGGAAGAGAGAAAGCTCTCGAGACATATTTTAACAGGCGTAATGTATACCAAAATGCCTCTGCATTGTCAGATTTGGTGGGACGGATAACGCAGTTATCTAATAATATCTCGTGACTCATATGATGTCGGGCGATTTTCTATGTGTAGAGTTGGTGAAAACAATGTCTAAATGGACAAAGAATTTTCATGTATGCACGTGTTAAGATCTTAAGACTATTTTTAGATGTGGCAAACATGCGAACTTCACAGACGTCGTCAAGCTTTAGTGACTAGCAACTGCTCGTTCTCTAATGGGAGGAGTTTTGGAGCAGTATATCGAGGGGAAAAGACATAGTTCTGATCAATTGTTTGATATTATGTTACAGAAGGAGCGAAGAAATACAAGGATGTGGATATTCTAATTTCTTTGTCTGGTTGCTACATCAATATACTTCGGGAACGTGAAAGAAGTTCAAACCAAATGAAGCATTCATGGAGATATGCGTATCAATTGGCAAAAGTATCCATTCTCATTGTTAGCATTGCCTCCAGTTTGCGGAAGTGGGAAAGAAAAATGGCTATTCATTCTTTTACGGGACATTTCTAAACGTTTGGAGATGGATTGTTCCGGGAGAGAAAAAAGAGAGGTTTTTACAAGATACCGCAAGCAAAAAGGGCCAGAATTCCTGATTGGGTTGCTAAGGCCCAACGACTTAACAATCTTCCATTAAATTGGGTTACCAATTCACCACAAGCACTTTTGCTTTTGCTTAATCATAAATCCCAATTTGTGGGCTCTAATGTTTAACTCTTTTAATTGAATAAAATTTGCTTTCGACGAAAAAAATAATAGTAAATTTACTTTTTAAATTTATCTTTTCGAGAGGTTGCCATCTCGTCGCAAAGGCTATCACGGTCTATTATTTCCCATTATAAATTAATCGTAAAAAATGGTCAACTGACAAGTTAAAGAGAACTTCTGATGCTACAAATCCAAATAAGAATCATTTAATTCCAAGATTGTTTGATTAGGCCCAGATACTAAAACATCAGGGGTCAGTTTGGGGGAAAAATAAAGAAGTTAATTCTTGGTTTTGACCAAGTGTAGTGACTCTCTTTGCTTGATAAGCTTAATGAATGTAATGTACCGAGTACAATTTGTAACCCTACTTGATTGATTGATGATTTGTGTGTTTGATTTCAATTAGAGTTTGAATTCCTTTGGAATGTCCTCGACATTGCATGTAATATTCATTGCTTGATATCGTATCGGGTTACTTTTTGTAATTTAGTTACTTACATTTTATTAGGCCTAATACCCTAAAAAACCTCAAACTTTAGCTTTTGTCCAGATTTTAGATTTTGTCTCATAAAAAACCTCCAACTTTAGGTCCTGTCTCAATTCTATCATAAATTTTTTTTTTGTTCCATAAAAAACCCTCAACTTTAGGTCATGTCCCAATTCTATCATAAACATTTTTTTGTTCTATGAAAAATCCCTAACTTTAGGTCTTGTCCCAATTTTAACGCCCAGTCCCAATTTTAGTCTAAAATTTTTACAGTCTTATAAAAAACCACAAAATTTTACTTGAGTTATAAATATGCTCACATTAACCCTCATTCTAAAATTTCTCGTTGGAAACTGAGAGATGGAAAACTCCCGAGTACAAGTTGTTCAAGTATCCCAAGTATGAGCTGTTCGAGAGTCCCGGGTGCGAGCTCTCCGACCGCTAGAGATGGAACATTCTCAAGCATGAAAGATCAACCAGCGCAAAATCACTAAGGGTGATTTTAACAAAGGGTTAATTGAGAGCAAATTTGGAACTCAAGTAAAAGTTAATGATTTTTTATAAGACAAAAAACAATTAGAGTGAAATTAAAACTTGACTTAAAACTGAGAATTTTTACGAGACAAATAAAAATTTTAGGGTATAATTGGTATTGAACCCAAAATTGAGGATTTTTTTTTGTACAAAAAAAAAGGTTTAGGATAGAATTGGGACTGTATCTAAAGCTGTGTTCGTTTGCGGAAAAATATTTTTCGGGAAAACATTTTCCGTGTTTTCCGGTGTTCGGGGGCGGAAAATGTTTTCCGTGGGAAAACATTTTCCTTCCCCACCCCCAAATCTTTCATTGTTTTGAGGAAAATGATTCCCTCTTTCCACAAAGAGGAAATCATTTTCCCCCAAATTGAAGGCAAAATTGCCCATGGGAGGGAAAATGTTTTCCGCGGGAGAGGAAGTTGATCGCCGGTCACCGCCGTTGGCCGCCGCCCGAGCCGGCCGCCCGCCGCCGGTCGCCGGCCGCTCGCCGCAGCCGCAGCTGCCGCCGCCGGCTGCCGGCTCGCCGGCGCCCGCTTTCGCCCGCCCACCGGCCACCGGTCGCTGGCTGCCGGCTGGCCTGCCCACCGGCCAAGCCCGGCTGGTCGCTGCCGCCCGCCCTCGGCTGCTCGCCTTGCCCCGCCGGCCACATTTGTCGCTGGCCGCCGGCCGCCCCGCCCACCGGCCGCCGCTGATCGCCCGCCGCCGCGGATCGCCGGCCGCCTACGGCCGCCCGGCGAAAAATATTTTCCGAAACTTTTTCATATTGATCGCCGAACACCGAAAAATTATGTTCCGGGAAAACATTTTCCAGGAAAATGACTTCCGGAAAAATATTTTCCAAAAGGAGAATATTTTCCGCCAAACGAACGGAGCATAAAGTTGTCGATTTTTTATGGGTCAAAAAAAATTTAAGGTAGAATTGGGACATGACCTAAAATTGGAGGTTTTTTATGAAACAAAAGGTAAGATTGAGACAAAAGCTAAAGTTTGTGGTTTTTTAGGGTATTAGGCCCATTTTATTACCGCTTTTGATGTGTTTGTTTTTACCCTTTTATGTCATTTCCTTGATTGTTTTTTTTTCTTATTTCATTTAGCTTAGTTGGATGGTTAGGGCATGTACTAGGAACATACTAAACAGAAAAACATCTTGGTCACTTAGTGGGCAATAACTCATGGACCCGACACTTAGCTAACAAATCAATCAAGTTAGGTTAATGAAAGGGTATTAGTTGAGTAAATTGGTGTAATTAATTCCCGTACTTAGATCTGGTTGCATAGAAGTGAGATGGCTCATAGTCGGCCCCAATAAGCTAGTGGCGACTCTCTCATATGACAAGATTCTCATAGGGTTTTTTTTTTGTCTTAGGATTATAATAGGTTAATCAATTAAATTGAACCTTCCAATGTCATTAGAGGTAAGCATTTGGAGACTTGTGCCTATTGAGGACCGTTGGTCCACCTTTGACATTACCTCTAATCCTACTCTCCGAATGCAAAGACCGCTTCGAGAAGGTCGCAACAATCTCTAGCCTCAGGTGACCCCGTATCTTGAGTCGCCTAAGGCTAGGCTGCTACGTGAGTGAGCCCTCGACCTAGTTTGCGGAGGGGCCAAGACAAAAGATGAAGACAAATAGTCCAGCAATGGGGCATGACTATAGAATACGATGGCATAGCGACAAAAGGCGGCACGTAGTCGATCGTGGTGGGGCACGGTGGCTGATGCACATCGTAGGAGAGGAGAGAGAGAGGAAATGTGTGTTTACGGTTTTGTTCAGGTGTTTTAGGAAAATTAGCTTAAAATATAAGGGAATTATTGGTCAAGTAGGTTTTTTTCTGACAAAAAACCGAGACAAATTAACATAAAATATCTCAATTGTCTAAAAAATGTCTAAAAATAACATAACCTTCTAAACCTAAAAAAAAAGTCAAATCGGCAAAAGGACACTACAAATGCCATAAGTTGTGTACGGAGGTCACTTTGGTGCCATAACTTTTTTTTGGATCACTTTGGTGCCAAGTCGGAGGAAAAGAGATTACTTAAGTGCCAACTCCGGTAAGTTTGGCCGGAAATCCGACGTGGCATTTTTCATTAATTTCTGACACCGACGTGGCTCGCCGGAGGATGAGTCGGCGTGTACAGTCAACATTTTTTATTTTAAATAATTTTTTCCTTTTTTTCTTTTTTTTTTCCTCTTCTTTCCTTTTTCCTTTCTTTTCTTTTTTTTCTTTTCTCCCCTTGCCGGCCAGTTGCCGATGGCCGGGCCGGTCATTGGCGAAGCCTGGGAAGGGCTGGGCGAGTGCGGCCTTGCCTATGTCCGGCAAGGGGCGGCCTCGCCAGATCTGGGCGAGATGACCCTCGCCGGCGACTAGCGAGGCCGCCCCTCGCCGGCCATGGGCGAGGGGCGGCCTTGCCAGATCTGGGCGAGGTGACCCTCACCGGCGACAGTCGAGGCCGCCCGTTGCTGGTCATGGGCGAGGCCGCCCCTCACCAGATTTGGCGAGGGGCGGCCTTTCCAGTTGCCGGCGAAGGTTGCCTCGCCCAGATCTGGCGAGGCCGCCCCTCGCCGGCCATGGGCAAGGGGCGGCCTCGCCTATTGCCGGCGAGGGTCGCCTCGCCAAGATCTGGCGAGGGGCAGCCTCGCCTGTCGCCGGCAAGGGTCGCCTCGCCCAGATCTGGCGAGGCCGCCCCTCGCCGGCCATGGGCAAGGCCGCCCTCGCCCAGCCCTTCCCGGGCTTCGCTGGTGGCCGGCCCGGCCACCGGCAACCGGCCGGCGAGGGGAGAAAAGAAAAAAAAGAAAAGAAAGGAAAAAGGAAAGAAGAGGAAAAAAAAAAAAAAAAGGAAAAAAATTATTTAAAATAAAAAATGCTGACTGTACACGCTGACTCATCCTCCGGCGAGCCACGTCGGCGTCAGAAATTAATAAAAAATGCCACGTCGGATTTCCAGCGAAACTTACCGGAGTCGGCACTTAAATGATTTCTTTTCCTCCGACTTGACACCAAGTGATCAAAAAAAATGTTATGACACCAAAGTGACCTCCGTACACAATTTATGACACTTGTAGTGTCCTTTTGCCAAGTCAAATCTTTCTTGCGTGCAACAAAAATGACACCGTTACAAATTCTGTAAATTTTCATCGTTAAATAGCCACGTGTTGTTCTATATGTCTCATTGTCCTGTCATACATAGTGAACTGCGTTAATTACGATCAAGTATGATTTTTTTAGTACAAATGAAGGAAATTTTCTCTGAGGCAGCGGGGGGAGTATTAAGATTCTCTTCCATAGATAGTTCCA